AATCTCATTTTTGTTGGTTGATGATCCGTTGCTGAACTCCCATGTATCATAAGCGTTGCCATCCATCCATGGAATCCATGCCCCAAAAAACACACCATCTCCAGTGCAGGAAGTCCCATTTGCCTACATCCCCGGACATCAACAGGACGGCGAGGGAATCATCCAGAGGAATTTTGCACCATTTTTCGGAGAGCTAGTTCCGAGAGTTCCGAGAGCAGCCCATGTAAGATTGAGAATATCCCAGTTGCGGAGCGTTGGCTACGGCTGGTGGCTCACTACCCACGAATCGTAAGTAGGTTTTTTTAGCCTGAATATAAGCCTGGCATTGTGTAGGGGCTGGTGGTTCACGCATATCTGAAGTGTTCCTGGGACGGACCACCACGTTTTTTTTTCGTGTCCACCAGATTTTGGATGCTTATATAAACCTTGGGTGGGTTGGTTAAAAAGTTAAAATCCTATGAAATCCCTAGTGTTGATGGTTACCCTCTGGTAAACTAACACAGCTATGGAAAATCACCATTTTTAATGGGAAAATCCACTATAAATGGCCATTTTCAATAGCTATGTTTGACATAACCAGAGGGTAAGTTAAAGCCCATGAAATCCCATTGAACTCCATTGAATCTGATCAGCCAATCAACATTTTCCAGCACGGTCCGGATCTCTGGGAAGGTCCGGCTTCAGATGTTTCCTGGATGGAGCTGTCTGGGTATCCAACTGGTCAGGGAAACACCCATTATATATAAATATATATATATATATATGTATATATATATATATGTATAATATGATATATACAATATATTTGATGTATATATATATAATTATATACATAATATGTATATAATACATTTAAGAACCCCAAAAGATAGAAAAGTAATTCATCGCTTTTTTTTTGGCATGTTTTTTTTTTTAATCCAGATAATTGAGATAATTGCTTATTTATTGATTTTAGCCTAATATCTGTAACAGTCAGTAAAACGTTTTATTCATGGGACCCCTCTAAAAACATCACCCAAAGATGGTTTCTTTTGGAATAGGCTCTTTGGGCGCTTTGTGATTTGTTTGCCACGTTTTCTTCACAGTGCTTGACCATCTTGCTCATTGCAGCCATTTTACATACTTGACAATTGACAATTTGCAGAACTGATTGTACATGTTGCCCACTATTTTAGAGTATCCCCCCAATTT